AAGTGGGCTTTGTGGAATTACAGATGCTGGGCTTCTGCCACTGTTGGAGAGTTGCGAGGCAGGTCTTGTTAAGGTGAATCTCAGTGGCTGCTTGAGTTTGACCGATGAAGTAGTTTCAGCCTTGGCTAGGCTACATGGTGGAACCCTTGAATTGCTGAATCTGGATGGTTGCAGAAAGATAACTGATGCTAGCTTGCTAGCAATTGCTGAAAATTGTCTGTTTCTCAGTGATCTAGATGTGTCAAAGTGTGCAGTCACAGATTCTGGCATTACTATGCTGTCAAGCGCAGAGCAGCTCAATCTTCAAGTCCTATCCTTGTCAGGATGTTCTGAAGTATCAAACAAGATCTTGCCTTGCCTAAAGAAAATGGGCAGGACCCTGGTGGGATTGAACCTCCAAAACTGCTGTTCAATTAGCAGCAGCACAGTTGAGCTGCTTGTAGAGAGCTTGTGGAGATGTGATATCTTATCATAATCAGGGAGAAAAACAGATGCTCATTGACTGAATCAAATCAGTGTAATCAAAGGCATTGAACTGGATCACGAGGTTGATGAACTCCCGTTTGTCTATACATAGAAGGATAAAATTTCATGTAGTTAGTTGATACGGGTAGAGCAGCGTTCAGCAAAGTTTTTGGCCCATCATCAGTGGGTGCTGCTTGGTTTTCTTCCATGGAACTTTGGCAGATCACTTCTCCATTCTTTTTTTTTTCTTTTTTTTTCGCAGGCTTCCTTCAGACAGAAAGCTTGTGGTAAATGTTTTTCCCCCATTGATGGGAGGCCTCCCCTTTCATGGCCGTGGTTTCTTGAGAATACAGTTACCAAGCTCTAGTCCGGATTCCCACTAGTGGCCACTCCATTTCCCACATCATCCCAGGTCCTTGTGCTTTGCTGGATGTAACATACCCGGTGTTTTAGCTTATGCCTTGCATTCCTTTGATGGTTTGTGTCTTGACTAAGCTTTCTTTGTTCCGATCTTACGAAGTCTGCTGAAAAACTTTATTGTTTCAAGTGTTTTCTCCAAGAGTCTTTCAGTGCTCGAATCTCTCCTTCGGTGTTGGTTTTGTGGTTATCGTGTGCTCCTCTGTGATCATAGTGTGTTCTCTTTCATTTGCGCTCTCATAAGAGTGGTTTGTTTTGGGCAGTTCTATGCTGGGGTGCCTCAGATTTGCAGGCTTTGGCGGTGGCAGCTGGTTCATCCCTTGCCAATGACAACTTGTTTTCGGGTGTTTTTTTTTTTTACCCACCAAAGTCCTGGTTTCTGTGGCTTCTCTTTGTATATGAATTGTACTCTGCAACTACTTCAATAAAATGTAATAGTTTCTTTTCGTTGTGTAATTCATTTCTGTTGAAAGACTATCAAAGCAGAAATCTCTACCACTAATTCTATAAATCCGATCTAAGATGGCCATGATCTCCGGAAAATGGTTGCAGTACTGATTATAGATTACCAAAAATATGTTAGAAGCAGTGGTGGCAATGCTTAGATAAGCAGAAACCTGATACTGTGGTATCAGAGGAAGGCAGTCATGGTGGTGGCAGTCACAAGAGAGAACACTGTTCATGCCATCAACAAAAGTTCCATTAAAGTTTCATGGTTAAAAGAGTATTTCTACTATGAGTAATACTTGCAATCACATTTACTTGATAGTTTCATACCCAAACAAGATTTGGAAGTGAGGACCTGAGTTAGTACACCACATACAGCGACTCTACATTGTAGAGGCACAGCTGGAAAAATTAAACCTTTAAAATGGCTACTGTTTGTTTTTTTGTCTCCATGGATGGATACTTGCCTAGCTTGTAGAATGGGCCTAAATAATGCATGCTAGGAGTACCGAGAGCAATTTGTACCAGGACTACTACCACTCCTAGCTCCAAGAGCTATCCTCACTAGTGCCATCTCATGCTAGTGTCTGGTCACCATTTAGGTTGCTTGCATGTACCAGGCATCAAGGATTAACTTCCGAGCTGTTATGGTCTTCAGTATCAGATAGGATTGTGTCGCTGATGAATGATGATTAAGGCAAGTAAAGACATCATAACTCAAACAAAGTTACAATGTCACTACAGTTAATATACACAAACTAAAGAATAATTAATGCTTCTGTCTGCTATTAGAAAACACAACCCAGGTCCCTCCATCCCAAGTATCAAATCCAAGATCGTTAAAGCTGCACCCTGAGAAACTGTGGGCTAAAGTTGTTTCCTGTAGATGGTTAGAAATCAGAGGGGCGCAGGCATAGAATCATGAACGTAAATGGGAAAAGGCAAGTAAATTAAAAGCAAAAACAAGTGGAATGATCAAAGCAGGGATGGCTAATCTTGTGTCTGGCGATGGAAAAATAAAGGGGCGTCTTTAGCTTTGGGGGTTAAACTATCTGCCTACTTGCTTGTGTTAAATAGATGATGACAGAAGTACTTAAATAGTCTGAAAAAGGAGTCAAGTCAACCAACAAAAGATGATAAAAAATGTAACTTCAGTCATTCAAACAGAAACATGAACAGGATTGTAACTATTGCTTGAAATGAGCCATCAAAACAAAGCTACAAGGCCAGCTCTGTTGGGACCCCCCAAGCCTTACCCCGAACTCAGATTCACTGTATTTTTTGAACTAAACAATTGCATTATATGTGAACATGGAATGCTACAGGTTCTTAAACGAGAATCATATCATTGTTTCAATAGTTTCCCCCAATCTCTTTGCAGCTCCCTCCTGTTTTTCCTTTTTCCCCATTTGACAAGACTCATGGCTTCGGCGACAGACTCCTCATATGGTATAAGAATTACATTGATTGTGATTCTCTTCTTTTCCCTCACATTTCTCCCTCCTGTCTCAGGTAAAAATTGATCTGGGTTTTTCGGACACTGCTAGGCTAAATAACTAACTATTACATCAACAAAAGGGAATTCACAAAAGTCGGTCTTGTTTCAATCTGTGTTGTTTGTGCTTCTTTTTGGCAGCGGCATCATCAGTGCCTTCAAGAGGGAGTGAAGATATGAAGCAAAAGAAAATGGTTCTGGGTTCAAGGCCTCCTCAATGTGTCAATAGGTGCTCTAATTGTAAGCCTTGCATGGCTGCTCTGGTCACTCCTCCCCATCATAAAAACGGTTTCAGGGGACCTTCATCTAAAGGAGATGAAAGCTATTACCTGCTCTCATGGAAGTGCAAATGCGGAGATAAGTACTTTCAACCTTGAAGTTTGTATACTACCCTAGGATACATCAATGTTAGTATTACATGTAGCTAGACCTCAGTAGTCTCTCCCTAGCATGCCAGGAACCCACCTCCCTCCCTCTCTCTCTCAGGACAGAAGTACTTAGATGTATAATATGGGTGCTGGCTTGCCTTGTCGTAGTGGGTATTCTGTAATTTTCTTCAGGGACATTCAACTATCTTTGAGATCTGTCTGGCTATCTCATGAATCTGCCAATACGCAACTGTCATATCTTGAACATTTTGGCATCACGAAAAGCTATATCCAATCCAACCATTAAATGCCTTGAAAAACATGCTACACTAATTATGTCTACAATTATTTCATGTTTGCTCGGCTTTGGTTTTTATATATAAATATAAAAAAATAATAGATTAATTATTTTTATTAAAATAATATATTTTTGTTCTTTAACAATAAAATATTAATGTTGTCTTAGCTATATTTGAAATTAAATCAATTGAATAATTACAAATCAATTAAATCAATTGAGTGCTATAAAATTAATATTTTTTTTATTTAGATACCACCTTTTATTCCGAATCACCATAATACTTTCTTGTTACAGGTGTGGTTGCAACTTGTTTTTTAAAATTTCTTTTATTTATAAATAAATTGAAATAATATTTTTTATTTTAAAAAAATTATTTTTTATATTAACAAATCAAAATAATATAAAAATATTAAAAAAAATATTAATTTAAAATAAAAAAATAAATTTTTTTAATGTGTTTACACAAAACAACGAATAAGGTCAAGGACATGAGACCTCTTACACGCGTCCAGTCCTGCAATATCTTGTCAAAAATCACCTAATTTCAAAATATTCCATTGACAGTGAAGTAACATGGGGTGATTGGCATTGTACTGTAAATTGTTTTTTATTTAGAAATATATTAAAATAATTTTTATATTGTTTTTATTTTTAAATTAAATTTATAAAAAAATACTAAAAAAGCCATCAATTTAATATTTTTTAAAATAAATATATTTTTAAAAAAACCTTGAAATACAGCTGAAAATGCACTTCTAAACGGGCACTAAATGAGACTTGGGTCCTCTCATGCAAGAGAGTACCCACCTGTCTCCTCAACCATTACAAAAATCCAAAGACTATCTCCTCCATTAAAAAACTATTGCCAAGGGTTCCGTGTACGGACTTCTCTGATCTACGGAAATGGATTGAAAGGAGAGGAAGAAGAGTGAAGACAAGCTTTCAACAGCCATGGTCATGGCAATGTAAAGCAATGACGACGGTCAGGCAGGCGAGAAGGGGAAGAACGTGGGGGGTTGTTTAACACAGAAAAATATATTTTCAGTTTTCTTTCTTTTTCAATAAAGATTGAAAAGCGTGTTCATTTATTAAGAACGATGGTGAATTTTTACAACAAAAGAAAAATACATTAAAATCACAACTATTTTTCAACAATCGAATTGCAGGGTATTAATTTTATTTTATTTTGATTAAGAGTTATCAAAAGGAATTATATTATCAGCTAAAAAATATATCATATTTATAATAAAAAATAAATTTATGACACTAACTGAAAATGAAAAAGATAAAAGACAATAATTTTAATTTTTTGTATTGTTTATAAGAAAAAAAAATTCATCAATTTGTCTTATCTTCATTTTTTTAAAAAAAATATCTCCGAATAGATTCAATATAAATTTGAAAAGCTAGCATTAGGATTTCCTTAACATCCAGACCCTGCTTTTGAGGGGCTCGTGCTGGTACACAGGCCTCTCTCTCTAGGACATGGCAGGGGGGCAAGCAAGGGTTAAAAATAGGGCGACCTTCAAGTTCTAAAATACAATAGATTTCATATCAGACAAATCTTGTAATTTACAAACATTATTATAATATATGAATCAGGAACAAGTACACTGGCACGCCATCAGTGCGTATTTCTGGCGGTTCTGTCGGCAGGATTATCTTCCTTTTTGCCCTTCTTCTCACTGATTTGCTTCACACCCAAAAGACTGGATCAGCAAGTCATTGTTCGAAGCAGCCAGGAAGTTTTGCACCCTCTGGTGGTTTCCAGATGATATTTTCTAGCTTAGTGCAGAAATTCTTGTAGAACTGCAAAGAAAAGTAAATGGTATAGGTGTTGCCAGTATTGAAGGATAGATGAAGTGATAGCTTTCGGTGCTATTACAAAATCTGAATATATATATATATATATATAGCAACAATAGCAAATTGATCCACCAAGTTCGACAAATTAAAGGGCCTTTAAACTCTTATCATGATAGAGAACACTCATAAAATCATGCTAGCTGTCTCACTGCAGATACCTGGGTGAAGGAAAAATTCTATAATATGCGTGAGCTATCCATAAGAAAGATGTTTATTTATATCGGAGGATTCTTGGATTTATTAGCAAACCATAAGAAAATGGGGTTGAAAATTAATCAATTTGTAGGTTAATATTAGAGCATCAAATGATCCAAATGGAGAACAGGCTGTGATACGTTGTCAGATGTGAAATAGCCTGTATATGACATCGTTTGCACATATATAAGGTCCAGTGAATGTGCATTTTAACAGTGAAAGCCCAAAAATACTGTGCTGAGGCCATGAGATAAGACATAGAAAACATGATCATAGAATAACAAATAAAAAATGAAAAACATATAACAAGCCTGCATTTTCCCCTTTTCAGAACTAACCAGCCTATATTGCTAAAATGAAATTTTATTTAAGTTGCCTTGGATTCTGCGCATTTAATTCCAGTAGGTTACTCTACAAACTTCTGCTGATAGGTATAGCACATGCGTTTGCGGGCATCAAGCTCACCCTTCACCCCATCTTTTCCCATGGTTAGATGGGTAGTATCTCTTTAATCATTTATTATACGGAAGAATCAAAGAATCACTTCTACATCTTATGCATATGGAGAGTTAGCAAACATTATCATAATCTTAAAAACAAAGAAAATAGAGTGTGATTGATTGATTTCTAGATGACGAGACAAAGATTTAAGGATTTAAATGAATTCACCTTGTGATATTCAAGAGTTTCCCCAGAAGCCTTCCGAGCATCTACCATGAAAAGTGATGGAGCAACTTCATAAACCTAAGCATGAATGACAACTGATTTTAGTATAGTTCTTATTCTGAAACCACTGGCACCTAGTTTTTTCAGATTATAGAATTTGGAGAAAGAGAGATATGAAATGAAACCTAGGAAGTTACCTCCAGAACAACTGCAAATTGTCCAGCCTTGTTTTCAGATACTCCTTCAAGTCTTGTCTGTAAGAATTTTTTTTTTTTTCCCAACGTCAATAGAAATGAAATGAAGAAAAGATCATTAAATCATATTGATATCCAACACATCAGAACCCAATGAACTAAAATCATTAACTGCTAAGCTGTTGCCAGATCAGCTCAGTGGCTGAATTTTCTGGCAACTATTTTTTTGTAGCGGCATGAGCTTGCCTGTGTAATTAGCTTTGTTACTTCCTGGTTTGTATTTTCTCTTTATGAGTAACACTTCTAATTCTTCTCTTGTCATTACAATCCCATTTTCAGATAAAGGTGAAAAAAAATGTTTCCAGGTAATATCCATAGAAATTGCTCAACTAAGCCATGCAGTTTTGAGAAGAATTGAGCAACTTATTGGTGGTTACTACCAAACTGGGACACATGCAGAACACAATTTGTGGAAGAAAAAAAGCACAGAGGACCAAGAACGTCACTGATGATGTTAAATAGGGACTTCATAAAAATATAACTTCATAAAAATATAACAAATGGACTTCTTACAAATATAACAAATCAACTTTTACCTTGTAATTTCGTGTATGGACCTTGAGATTCATTGATTCTGCAACTGCTTCAATTGTTGAAATTATATCCTTTGCAGGTTTGCGTGATACAAAACGAGTTTGTCGTTTTATATAATCCTGTCAGATGAAAAGTGCACCATCAGCCTAGACACATAGGGGCACTTTGAGATGTTATCAGAAAGTGCTTGAACCAAAGGAAAGAATCTAATTACCGTAGCAACTACATAGAAATTAAGCAAGGTACAAAACGATAAACAAGGTTAATATATTTCACCATTACAATGGCAATGGTGGTGCTGGATATCACAGATAACATTTTCACAGATGGAAAGTTCAGGAAGTAGGACATGTGACACTTGATCATGTCTACACTATCTTAAAGTTTGCTTTTCTTTTATCAAATTAACTTAGCCTTGCACAAAATTCAACTCTGGAACTATGCACTAGAACAGGCTAGATACTATATTTGTCCATAAATTGCAGCACAACACTGAAACTACCTGACGTCTGTCGAACAACGCTGATAGATTCAACCCTTGAGACAGGGTAATCATCTCAAATGCATTCATTACCAAAGGACCACCTACACTGTTCTCCAGTTGCTCTGCTACATATTGATCCTGTATTTCCAAGAATTACCAAGTAGAAAGAGAAGTAAAGAGCTTAAAAGGCAGAAAAAAAAATATGTCTGCAGGCCATCATAGAACATTACGGTACCATAAAGAAAAGAACCCACTGAAAAAAAAGGATATCAGATGATGCATGTTACAATGCATTTGTAATGTTAGCATACACTCAACTTCAGAATTTGGTAGGCTTGCATTAGATGCATGTTACAATGCATTTGTAATGTTAGCATACACTCAACTGTAGAATTTGATAAGCTTGCATTAGTATTTTGAAAGTGATGATACAAACCTCAATGTCATCAAAAACAGCATGAACATCATCCAAATTCACTTCCTCGTCTTCCCTATGTCCAACAGGCTCATAGTTTTTCTGAAACCATGGATGTTTTTTAATTCCCTCAATCCCTATACGCTGCAGCAACAGGAAACCAATTGTTCTCAGATGAAGACAATTTCATGGATATGAGGTGTTCTTAACTGATATTCAAGTCCTGGCTAATAATAAGTTTCAGACATGATGTGATTCAGATCAAAACAGTTTTGCAAGTAGGCATTTAAGTTCCAGTGCAATGTCCCAGATCAATTACAAGGTGGATAGAAGGAAGTAAAACACTCACAGTTCTAGGATTGGGATTGAGTATCTTATCTATCAATGCTTTCGCCCCAGGGGAAAACCAAAATGGACAAGAATATTCAGCAGCATTTATCTATGCATCAACCAGAAAACACAGTTAGGAATTGCCACATTATGCTTGGGGAAATTATAACAACAAAAAGAATTCAAACTTGGCACAACAAGCAAGATTATGCTTTCAGGAATGGAACAAGGTGAACATGGGCTTTTTCACCATTCCCATGCAAGGTTAGGAGAAATACAAGGGTATCAGTGCATGTTTGGAACTAAAACCTCCAAAGACAAGATATGTAATACAACTATAGGCACACAAGTGGGGACAAGTATCCAGAAGAGCCAAAAAAGGTGCTCTTGATAAAAACTTGTGCAAACAGAACTGCAAGTGAAGAAAAAGAACAAGTGTGGCTGCTTGAAAAGCTTTCAATCTGTAAATTTTGAACACTTTGTAATGAATAGAAGTGTCCTTGCAGAACTTGATAATAAGATAGTGAATGATTGCACATAAGGGAGTTTTAAAAGAATAACTAATTGACAAATACAAAGCACTTTGTTCACTTGTTCAATTCCTCCCGAGAAAAGATAGCTAACCTTTCGGTACAAGGTTGGAAGATCTGCCTCCTCAAATGGAAGATATCCAGCCATTAGAACAAAGAGGATGACTCCACATGACCACACATCAGCAGCAGCCCCATCATAACCTTGGTTACCAAGCACCTGATAAGCAGTCGTTTACTGTAAGAAATTGTGTTAAGAAAACAGAGGAGCAATAGCGCACCAGGGAAAAAATGGAAAAAGTTGCATTTGTGTTTCAACTACATGAGAATAATGAAAATGCAAATGCCTTCTATAAGAAACAGTGAAGCTGCAGATGAGCCATGCAGAAAAGTTCGTACATAGCAGATGGGAGGAAAAAGTTCCACGGAGAATAAATTAGGTTCAAAAGATCAGCAGCCAATCAACTCAAACATAGTGATGTTCAGTTTTCCATCATCAATATTATCCTCAGCTCAATACAGCATTGTACTTACGTATGAATACAGCAACCCTTTCTCCATAACAGGGAACAAAGGAACAAAAACAGAGAAATAGAATGCATCTCAGGAATAAAAATCATACAACAGTCCAGGGTGTCAAATATTGGCATGGATGGAAAAATTATTGTAATAGAATAGAAAACGTTGGCAAAGGCACAAGAGACCAAATCACATATTTCTTCTTTTCCACTTGAGAATATACCTCAGGTGCAACATAATTCGGGGTTCCACATGTCGTATGAAGAAGTCCAACCCCCTGCGTGTAAGTAGAAACAATCACAGACAAAACAGTCAGACAGAGATGAAATTTGTGTGCACGCCCTCATGTGTGTATGTTTTATTGAAAGTGAGATAGCCATATGCCTACTTTCTGCGGCAACGCACTCAATCCAAAGTCGGAAACCTTCAAATTTCCAAATGCATCAAGAAGAAGATTTTCAGGCTTCACATTACAAAAAAAAAAAAAACAGAAGTTAATCACAGCAGGCCCAATCACAAAACAAAGAAGTCAAAAAAGCAACTAAACCACCCAATATATCCACCTTCAGGTCTCTATGGTACACACCCTTGCAATGACAATGAGCAACAGCATCAATAAGCTGCTGAAAATACCGTCTCGACTCGTTCTCCCCAAGTCTTCCTTGATGAACCTATCATCCAATAATCCAATCCAGTCCATCCCCATTAAACAACAACAACAACAACAAAAACCCTTCACTTATTAGCTAATTATCCGTTAAAACGAAAAATACAGCAATCATTTCCTGCACAAAAATCTAAAAAAAACTTACAATTTTATCAAATAATTCTCCTCCAGTAACAAACTCTAGAATTATATATATCTTCGTCCGGCTAGCCAAAACCTAGAATTCAATCAATCAAAATAAGTAAGCAATAATACCTAACAAAAATTAAAAAAAAAAAACAAAATAATTACCTCATGCAGCCTAACTATGTAAGGATGTCTGACAAGCTTCATGATCGATATCTCTCTTTTTATCTGCAAACTCAAAAATTTAACCTTATTTACCTCCTCCTACTAGCCTAGAAAACAAAATTGAGAAAAAGAGAGATTGAGTAATTAGAAACCTGATCAACCATTCTGTGCTTAAGAATGGCGGATTTAGAAAGAATCTTCATGGCGACACTCTCTCCTGTTTCTCTATTTTGAGCAAATTTGACCTTCGCGAAGGTTCCTTCACCAATTGTGCGGCCAACTTCATATTTTCCTACCTTTCTCGTTACTTTCTTCATCATTATAAATTATAGTTACGATCAGCTCATTCTTTCTTTTATTTTCACTCTCAATTATCGAATATTCAAAACTGCATGGGTCAATTTCTGTGTTTTGTTACAGGTAGAGGAATGAATTTTCCTATAATAAGAATAAAATTAAGATAGGAATTAATGCTACTAATGGGTGTAAAAACATATATTCAGACGAGAATCGAATCTTACCGGGAAACGAAACCGACGGATCGTGCGGAGTGTTTTTTGGGGAATTTTTTTAAAGATGGATGGAGCTCTGGAGGGAGGTGGGGTTGGGTTCATTTGGTTTGGTTTGGTTTGGTTTGGTTGGGCTGGGTTGGGTTAGTCGTGGTTCGGGTTTTTAATAACTTATAAATTGGAAATGCGCTATTTAATTCATAACCTGGTAATGAACTAGATTGTTGGTACCGCTATGCTGAAAATGAATTTAACTTTTTTAATGTAAAAAATATATTTAGGCATAGTTAATGAATTTTTTAATAAAAAATTAATTATGAAATTAAAATATGATATATATTAGATAATATTTTTTTAATATTGATATGATAATATATTGAATGATTTTTTTTCAAATATGTAAATGATGATACATTACAACGACTCGAATTAACTTGTCAAATCTTTATCTCGGAATCACGAAATTATTATAACTCTATAAAAAATAAATCAAAATAAATTATAAAATTTAATTTTTAATCAATTCAATATTAAAAAACAGAATTAAAAATATATATTAAATTTAAAAAATAACAAAGAAAATACATAAATCAACTCAGGTTAAATTATCAAGTCCGTGATTCGGATAATGAGATATATATAATATTATAGACAGTAAATTAAAAAAATTATAAAATCTAATTTTTAACACTACAGTACATCCAATATTGAATAATGAAATTAATTAAAAAAACAAAGAAAGTTAAATCGATTTAAATTAACTTGATAGACACTCTACATTAGTCATGAGATTAAGATAACTTAATAAAAAATTAAAAAAATATAAAGCTTCATTTGTAACCTATTCAGTTTCAAAGATTGAAATTAAAAAAAAAAGATAAATCAAAAAAATCAAGATAACTTTGCAATTAAAAAAAATACAAAACCTGATTTAAAAAAAAATAATATTAAAAAATAAAAATTAGATTGAGTTATTTGAAGGTGAAATTATATATATATATATATATATATTAAATTAAAAATTTATCTAAAAATAAATTAAGTCAATTTAGGTTATTCTGTCGAGTTTATAATTTGAGTCATGGGATCGGAATAACCCCATAGAAAATAAATTATAAAAATCATGAAATCCGTTTAAAAATTATTCAATTAAAAATAAATAAAAAAAAAAACATAATCAACATGAATAGACCTTTTAAATTTATAATTTAAGGTGGATAAAATATTTTTAGTTTGATGAATAAGATTCTAATTAGGGACAAAAAAGCTAATTAAACCAAACTATATGTTTTAAATTCTGACAAACTCAAGTGAAATCATGAACTCATATAATATTTTCTATATGATTCACCAATAAGAAAAGGCTTCTAAAGAAGGTAAAACGTATTAAACACACAATCTAATAAAAACAATTATAAAATTAGATTTGACTGGTGGATTAAGAATCTAAACCTAACTTAGAAGATGTTATTTTTTATGTTCTAGTTAATTTCATGTTTTAATTATTCTTTCTACTTAGCTTGATTTAGGGTTTTTTTGTTTTTTTGGCTAAGACAGTTGGTGTGTTGATTTTTTAACCAGATAATTGGATTATTGACTTTTAAGACAATATCATAGTTTTTTCAACCTTCCTCTTCATAATAGTTCTCTCTACCTACCCCTTCATAGCGTAGGGCTAGTTTAGTGCTGTCAGTTTAAGAAAAAAACATAAGAAATCCTTGTTTTATCCAAGTTGTAGATATTTTGGGTGAAGGTTGAATAATGGACGTAGCAAGGACAACACGAAGAGACATGGAAAGTTGAGAACCTCAGGGCTCCTCGTATTCTACTGGCAAGACGAGAGAGAACCAGACAGATTTATCTTTCCATGATGGAAACCAGGGGCGACTTGATTTGATAAAGCTGTGATCGTTTGTATTATTATCAGCATGAAAATGCTTCTTGAGGTCTTGGCTTTTACTGGCAAATCACAACGAATCTCCTTCACACGGTCTACCAGGAATTTTCATATCTATTCATCTCTGGCGATCCACAGTGGAACCACTAGATTTCCATGGATACAAATGCTGCAAGTTTGCCTTTCTTCATTCAGCAATATTTTTGGATATTGTTGCCGGAGGTCCCAATTTACCTGGCCTGGATTTGTTTTTTTTGTTGTTCTCCGCAGAGATTGATCGAAGTAGCTTCGTGGGCTCCTCCTCGATTTCAAGATGGATTTCTCAATGGAGAAGGAGTAGGAGGATGATGGTGCTGATACACAAGATATTTAAGTAGAATCAATTAACCCTTTTAGTACTAATTTAACACACTACCTTTTAAAAAAAAATGCATATTCTTTTTCTTCTTTTTGTTGTTTCATCTATGGTTTTTGTGAAGGAAATATAAAGAATTTCTCCTTTGGAAATTAGTGTGGTTACCATTTGGTTTATGTTCTAGTTATTATTATTATTTTTACTCTATTTAGTATTATAATATTATAGTAATAATGGTTTTTTAAAGTATTTTTTATATAAAAATAATATTTTTTAATTATTAAAAAAATAAATTCGAAGAGAATGCAAATTGCTGAACTCCATCGCTGTTCTTAGGCACTAAAAACCAGCACTCCTCTAGCTATCACAAGTGTACTCCCCCAGACTCAATTCATATGCTGTCATTTTCTTCAATAAAATAATATTTTCATTATTTTTTTTTTGTTTTTAACTTCAACAAATCAAAACAATGAAGAAACACTTAAAATATAATTAAAAAAACATAAAAAAATAGCTGGAGAAGTATTTGTACAATTGTCAACCTCCTTTTTCTATAAATTGAAAACTCTTCTCCCATCATTAATTATATGCAGTGGACTAACATCATCCGAAATCACTCCTTCTCATGTCCTCCTTTTTATATACCATGTCAGGTATTAGCTTAGGTGATAAGCATCCTATCAAGTCATTCTGGGTTAAACTAGAGTGTGAGTGGCATACCTCGACTTAATGATTTTTAAATTTTTGCTTTTTATTTTTTCATCTCTGTTTTGGGGTGTATTTGATACAGTGTTTTACAAGTATTTTTTTTTAAATTTATTTTTTACTTAAAATTAGTATATTTTTAAGGTATTAATCTCAAAAATAATTTTTAAAAAATAAAATATTATTATTGATATATTTTTTTAATAAAAAATATTTAAAAAAAAAACTGTAATTATATTCTTAAACATACTCTGTTAATCTTATTTTTTAAAATAATTTGTATTGTAAACTGAATATAATTTTTATTTCAACTCACAAAATCATTTGAAATAAGAATTTTCCATACATCGACGTGGAATTGATATAGACCGACATCAAACAAGTTTTTTTCTTAAGGACTTGTAATATATGTGTGTATATATATAATTCTCTCTTTACTGAACATTCTTGCCACAAACCTCTCCTTTAAATTAAAAAAATAAAAGAGATAGGCTTTAATGAATATAGAAATATAGTAATTTCACCTTAAAGTTATTAATATGTGTTCATCTAACACAATAATCGATTATATATTGAATAAGCTGATTAAAAAATAATTTAATAAAACAAAATAATATTATTATTTTTGAAAAAATTAACAAGTTGGATAGGACATTGCTAATTTTGTGTATATTATAATATTTATCAATTCAACCTTTTAAATCAGTCAATTTTAAATTATTATTTTGAAATTTTAGTTTGAATCACAAGATATGTAACTAGGTTTTGAATCGAGCTGTATATTCATTACTTTAACTGGATTAAACTAATTTAATTTTAAATTATTTTTAGAAGATCTAATTTGAATAATAAGACAAGTTAGTTAGATTTTGAAACGAAGTGCAAAGCAAAGATTAATAACAAGACTTCAAAGACAATCGAATCTCCTGAGCTAAATTACCAGAAAAAAGAAAAATATTCGATAAAATCGGCAAGAATGGGAGCTTTTGTCGCTGCATGGTTCATAGGCGATGCATCTCCGCCTGCAAACAACAGCTGCCACATGTCAACTTCTTATTTGTTTATCCCAAATTGCAAGGCTACAATATTTCAACGAGAGCGACGCCCGCAGCGCATAAAAGCCAAAAATGGGATAACAATTAAGAGAGGACGAAAAAATAAAAATAAAAAACACTCTAGGGGCATCGTTACTCATGTATATTGTCTATTTTACCCCTACAATCATCCACTTGCACCACTTGGCGACGAAAGCAGGACCTCAAATAGGACCCGTAAAAATCTGAAAAGATAGCCACCCAATGACTTGACTGGCATGACCTCATAGCACCAAAACTCACCGTTGAATCGAGCCATGGGCTCCACCGCATGGTGCTGGTTAGCGATCTTGGGTCCCGCAATGATAAGGCAGCCTCTCAAACAGTATAGTGGCAAATTCGTAGGAACATGAAGTTTCTATGGGCTTTCATTGCTCCCTAAAACACAGCGGAAAAGCCCCGTTGTTTCCCTTCCATGAGCCGCCACCATATGCCAGTCGACAGTGTCGCCTCAGGTGATGATATTGAATCTGGACCGTCAATAAAACAGACGGTTTGTAGCGGGTCCTTTCTCACATGACCATGTTTGAGTGGGTCCTGCTGTGATGGAATGTCGGCCCCGTACATCGTATATACGGGGAGTTCCTTAGACTTTGTTTGGCAGGTAAAAAGAGAAAAAAATATGAATTGATTTTGCTGGATAATTTTGTGGAGCTAGGGATGTAATTAGTGACTTTTTAGTAATTATTTTTTGAGCTCTTGAAGAAAAAAAAAATATAAAAAAAAACTTATGACTCATAAAGAATAATAAAAAAATCTAACTTAGAATTTTTCTCTATCTTATTTCTTTCAAGTGATGTTGAAAAATAACTAATTGTATATTATTAGTTAACATAATTTTTAGACCTAGCTCAATCCAAGACTTGGATTCTGAATTTTGATAAGATATCCAGGTTTTGACCAAGTTATCAGGTCGTCTGGATCAATTTTTTTAATAAAAAATATTGTTTTAATAAAAAAACAAAAATCAACAAGTTACAACCAGGTTTTTAATTGGGTTTTATCATATTAACCCGCCAGGTCAACAGGGTTATACTAAATTTTTTTTTCTTTATTTTTTCTTCAACCCTGCCTGTTTCAGCCTTAGGTTAGTCGGGTCTCGAGTTCACCCACACGAGGCAAGTTGAGTTTAAAAACTATACTAGTTACACACTAAGTATCACGGCTCAATCTAAGACTTAGATTCTGAATTTTGATAAAATATCTAGGTTTTGACCAAGTCACCAGGTCGTCTGAATCAATTTTTTTAATAAAAAATATTATTTTAGTAAAAAAATAAAAATCAACAAGTTACAACCAAATTTTTGATTGGGTCTTACCAAGTTAACCCGCCAGATCAACAGGGTCATACTAAGTTTTTTTTTTCTTCTTAAACCCTGCCTGGTTTCAGCCCTAGGTCAGTCGGGTCTCGAGTTCACCCATGCGAGGAAAGTTGAGTTTTAAAACTATACTAGTTACACACTAAGTATCATAAAATTTATTAATTTTGCTCAATATTAAAATTTTAAAAATATTAAAATGACAACATGTTAGATCAACATTAATTAATATACCAAACTTGTGATCTAAGTCATGAAATAAATATAAATTCAATAAAAAAATTAAAATAAATTATAAAGTTTAATTATTAATTAACACGATGTTAAAATATAAAATTCAAAAAAATAACAAGTTAAACTTTTAAATCTATAATTCAAGTTATAAAAATAATTTCATAAAGAAATAAAATGAAATAAATTATAAAAGTTTATAAAATAAAATTAAAAAGAAAAGGAAGCTATATTCCAACACCCTTCATTAACAATGAATTCACCCCATCCTCACCTTAAATTTTTTGTTAATTAATAGTTATTCACGTCTTTTCTTTAGTTTCTCCCTATATGGTATGAATATAAACAATATGCGGTAGATCAAATTAATAACCATATGTGTAAAGCTCTATTGGGTTAAAGACATGTTAGAAAGCCACAGCATAACTGCATGGTAAAATAAATTTAAAATATATAAATAAATTGGGTCTTTAATATTTACCATGAATATTATTAAATATCTATAAATCAAGTTTTATACTATTTATATTTGAAACTCATACTCAAATCTAAAATAACTATTTAAACTTAACCCGAACTAAAATAAATATAGATACTTGATCCTAACTTGATTTGAATAAATGAATAATTAATATGAATCTAAGACCTAAACTTAGATATTATCAGTTACAACTATTTAATATATAATTAACTTGGTATATATATGTTTTTTGTATAAAAAAATTATTAGTGACAACTATTTAATGTATAATTAACTTGGTATGCATGTATTTTTTGTATAAAAAAAAAACCCTTAAAAGTGATTTATTTGTTTAGGGTTAGGTTTTGTACGAGCTCAAGCATTCTAGTAACCATGACACAATTCAAAACCTGAATTCTAACCCTCAAGTTTTATTCAAATCCAACCTAAACTTGATTTAGTCTATGTATTTTACCAATTCAAATTGAGTGAAACTCATATCCCTAACTCTAGCAAAAGTCAAACCATGTTAAAATTAATAAGATTTTTTTTTAATTAATTGATATGAAATATAAATAATATTTATCTATTTAAACAAAAGATTATTTTCTTATTGTTTTAATAAAACTATTTTCTTAGAAAATAGTTTTACTTTTTAGTATCCGGTGAACTCAAAAAAATTAGTTTTCAATCAAAAAAATAAATCTTTCCCATAAAAAAAGTGCTTTCCTCTTCTTAATTTGGTAAAACACTTTTTTCAAGGCATAAAATAAATCTCATATAAATAAACCTTCCACAAATATTTCTCTTCCCATGATATCATACAAAACAAACTCTTAATTAATATCATTAACTAATTTGGATTCTGCGTTAATTTAAAAAATTATTTTGAGGTTTTAAAAATAAAATTTACTTGAAAAACATTTAAAAAATTATATGTCTCTAATATTATACTTAAAATATTTATATTAAATATATATTTATATTTTATAAAACAAACTATACATGTAAAAATACAATATAATAATTTTTCCCTAACAGTCACACATTTTATAACTCATATATATGTATTTTTTTATCATAAGTGGTCATACAGGTACTTTCAGTTTTATATATATAAAATTAAAAAAAACTAAAATATTTATAAATTATGTTTTAATTTATTTTTTATAGTATCATCAAATATTAAAAATTATTTTTTATGATACTATCAAATATAAAAAAATAATTTATTTTTTATAATTTTACTTAAAAAACTGTTTTTCAGCCAACAAGACTTATATATATTTAAAAAAAAAACATTTTAAAAGTTTAGGATAAAACATGGATGGTAAATACAGGATGACTTGGTAATTTTTTGGTGACAAGATGCAAGATATTTATCTAAGAGTATTTTTAACTGAAAATTTATTAAAATATTTATTTTATATTTTTAATATCAATTCATTAAAATCATAAAAAATTACATAAAAATATTAATTTGATTTTTTTAGATAATAAGCAGCCACAAAACAAATGCACCCTTAAATCACCTTCCCAATTGTTAACAAACTTCCATAACTATGAACCAATTAATTACTCAATGGATGAATAAATTAATAAATAAATTAAACAATTAATCACTCACATTATTTATCAGTGGCCAATTACCAACCACGATCAATAATTAACCAAGCAACTAATCATGCTGGGTGGGTAAAAATTAAAGAATGAATACAATGTAAAAATAACAAAACTCAAGAAAAAAAAGGTTTTTGAAAACCAAAAAATAGGAAAACAAATTCTAAAATGAAAACTTTAGATCCTTTCCCCCAAACAAGGCACTAAAACCCCAATACCAAAAATAATTAAAAAACATTAAAAAAAATTAATGTTTTGCCAAAACTCTTTACAACCGCAAAATGAAACGGTGCCTTACTCCTATATAAGAGCATTACATTCTACGTACATGACATGCCAAGCCTCGAGAGACTGAGAAATCCAAAGCCAAAAATATGCTTCTCAGGAGCTCATCAACGCCAATTCTGAATTCATGGATCCCTCCACACTCGAAAGAACCATCTCCAGAACCCGAATCCTTGCACCAAATCCAAATAACCCGATCCATTTCGTTGGCAGCATCATCTTCTGGTCCATTTTCTTCCATTTCTTCACAAGGCCATGATTCTAATGAAAGAGTGAAAATAGCCTTTTCCAAGAATGATTTAAGGTACTTCTCAGTGCCAAAGAGAGAACCCAGCAACAAAATATTGAATGGAATCACTGTTAACCAGGAAGTTGACGAAGAAGTGGAGAAAAAAATGTCATTTTGGGAGAGTGGGTTGTTATTTGAAGGGTTTGGGGTTGGAGAGAAGGGGGAGGGTGATAATGGGGTGTTAGGGGTTTTGGTGACGGGTGGTGGTAGTGATGGTGGTGGGGGGAAGTTCTGTGGTGGTGGAGGTGGTTTTGGGTCCGATTTTGGTGATGATGGAGGACCAGGGTTTCGGGAGTCTAATGAGGGGATTGAAACTACCGATGTTTATTATCAGACGATGATTGAAGCCAATCCTGGGAATCCTCTTTTTCTCAGAAATTATGCCAGATTCTTGAAAGAGGTAAGTGTTTGCTGTATAGCAAAAGGTTCTTGCTTGCATGGTTTTTGATTTTTTTTGTTTTTTGTTTGTGTTATGGTTAGATAATGTGTTTTGTGTTGTTTTCTTTTTTCTTTTTTTAATTTTTTTGAAGTTTAAAGAAATGGGAAGCTATGTTTCTGTCTTGTGTAGTTAATGTAATCGTATATCAACAGTGGATATTTTTGTCTGAAATTTGTGCTTTTAAAGCTCCTTTCTTATGAAAGTTTTGCTTAGTCAATAGGAATTTACTTTGATGGATATTCTTCAAGTATAAAGTTTTTGAAACTCTATGCTACAGAATCGTGAGAAAAACTGTTTTTTAGACGTTAAAATTAATTTTCAAACGCAAAAGGTAAGAGTATGAGTAAATTAGGAATGATTTAGTAAGTGAATAGGAGATCTTGTTGGGCAAGATTGTTCTAATGTATTGTTTTGGAATTGGAACAGATTCGTTTGGATTTTGTAAAAGCTGAAGAGTACTGTGGCAGAGCAATTCTAGCCAACCCTAATGATGCAGATGTTCTTTCAATGTATGCTGATTTGATATGGCAGAGTCATAAGAATGCTTCTCGTGCTGAATCTTATTTCGATCGAGCTGTTAAAGCTGCCCCCGATGATTGGTAAGCACCTTTGTTGATTTTAGAGTCCATAAAATTTGCTGGAACCTTAGAGACATGAATTATATCATGATCTCAATGTTTGATGGGAAAAAGGATTGTACGTGGATAGACAATTATCAGTATTACAGTATTGTACTTTACCATTGTATCTGTAGTTATGATGGATGCCAAGTTTTAAATATGTCTTTGTTTTGATGCTGCAGTTATGTGATGGCATCTTATGCTCGGTTTCTTTGGGACGCTGAAGAGGAGGAGGAGGAGGAGGAGGGGGAGCAGGAACAGAGAGAAAATATGAGCAAATTGTTACCGCCAACTTTTTTCCATGGATCCAAGCCTCCTCTCCCTCCTTTAGCCGCCTCATCTTGAGACCACCACCTCTCACAAAAATCTTGTATTATGGCTTAGACATAACTTCTGACCTTTGTTTATACATCCTTTCTTTTTGCAATTTTGCTAGTAACCTTTTAAGCTGCTCAGTTGAGTTGTTTAATTACCATGCTTTGCTCGTCTGGCAATTTGATTTAGAAAGAAAAATAAAAGATAAGACGAGTTTTTGTGGCATTACCTCTCTTACTTTCTGCTTGGCTTGTTATATATTTGTCAATAAATTTCTTTTGTTCTGGCAGGTATTGCTGCCACTGCATACTGAAGTTTTGCTGAAACTTTGAAGTTTGAAATCTCCTTTCCTCTGGTCATGCAAGTACCCCCCCTATAGATAAGCATCGTGGTTGGACAGAAAAGACTGTCCAATGCTTTAGATACAATAACAACGCGTTTAGCATGTTATGTATTGCCTCTTCAATTTTATTTAGGGTTTATGCTTCACCTTTAATTATTGAAGGAATCAAGGAAATGATAAAGCCTGGATAGATTAAATCGTTAAATTATCATTATTTATCTTCCCCTGTATTCAATAATTTAACGAGCTGATTTCTGTTCAAACTTAGCAAGTCCTAGGAGTGTTAAAATTTCTATAGAGTAATAGGGCCTGATCTACCAGTTTGCCAAGGCGCGAGTTGTTAGGGCTTGCCTTCACATCAAGTATTGGAGCTCTACGACAGAAAAGCTATGCTTGCAACTCAACCTATCGAGTGCAAATGGGAATATTTGGAGAGTTAAGCCTGTGCTTTAGAAAGGGTAAGAAGAATACTCTAATCTTCTTCAACACACAGAGGATAAGGATACTTTCACACAGAACAGGAAATCAGCTGCTGATTGGGAAACTATAGATTGATAGCTCTAAATTCATATCATGCAATGGGAATTGCCATCGATTATTCCTAGTGCTAACCTCAAGTTACCTTTGTTCTTGAATTTTACTTGTGAATATAATCTGTTCCCAACTAGCCCGAGAGACCGAAAAAGGCATAAATGATCCAAAACCAGCCAATAACTGATCCACCAACCAGCCCTATTCCTAGGAACACAACCATTGCAATTGCAGATAACTCTGCTTCTGAAACTGATACTGCCATGGGAGCAAGGATCATGAGAACACTTGTCAGATAGCCATTAGTCACTCCGAGCATGAAAGTTAGAATTGCCACGGGTACTTCAGTTTCCAGCCACTTGGGTCCATTGAGACAAGCTGCAAAGAGAGGATAGAACACAAGCCTGAGAATGCAACCCCATGTTGCCTTCTTAATGCTCTGCAGAACATATATTGTGGTTAAAGATTTCCCTGCGAAGTCTGCGACATTGTATATTGTTATCAGCAAAACGGGATACTTATCTTTTAGTAACTTGGACGAGATATCTTCTGCTATGAAACCAGGAAATAGAGACAAAGTCACGATAAAAATCATGAGAACACCAAAAGCTGGCCATCGGACTTTCCTTGCTACAGCCAGAAATTTTGGTTTTGGAAACAGTGAATCATCAGGAGCAAGTTTGTAATTCTGTTCCATATCTGGTAGTTTGTATAACAAATTGGAAGAGAGAGCCCAACACAGCAGAATGATGGCAGTAACTATAAGGTAGAAGTGAGCACTTGTTCGGAGACGTTGAGGGTTCTGAGGGAGTGATGCCTTTGTAATGATCCTCAAGATGGAAATGAGTATGATTCTTTGAGCTCTCTAACAATAACTGCTTCACCACAGTATACTTGCTTTCACTCACCTGCATCTTACATGCAAAATAAAGTTCAAGCAAGACAACAAACATGTATTTTGCATCTTTCTCCTAAAAATATGCTAAGAATTATACAGTTTAAAACCAATTTCTGGGAAGCATGACTGATAGTGGTAATAGGGATGGTTTCTGATGGATTCATTGAGGTTCTAGTCCCCTGCAATCTCAAAAACTCATGAAATTCTGAATCACTTGATGCTCCACAAAAATCTTTCCAGAAGTAATGTTGTGCCGAGAAAGCACTTGCTGGCAATGATGGAAAAGGTGAAAACATGCTATTGCTGGAAATGATTTCTTATTCTGAATAACCTGTACAAGGAAAACAGTGAAGATTTATTGTGTTTAGAAAACAGCCTGCACGTATTGTTATGTCTCTCCCTCACAACTATCTTATTGTGTTTGGAAATAATAAGATTTAGTAAATGTCGCGGTTCTAAAATAAAGTAAAAATTTACTATTTCACCAATTTTTTTTTAAATAACATTATTCTTCCAAAACTTTTAAATTACTGTGCTAATTTAAAAAAAAATCGCTTCGTGGCAAGTCTTTAGCATTGCAAGATTTGATTGCTCCCTACTTTCACTTGTGCCAAACTGGTCCTGTCAGGAGTAGTGCCTTGAAGTGAAAGGTAAGTCCATTCTGTGTGAGTAGGTCCTCTGTTGATTATCATGCGGAGCTTGATTTGGTCCTCAGATGTCAAGGGATGTTCAGAACTGTAGATATTGACCCCCCCAACCCCTCTTTAACATCTGCCAATACTGCTATTATAAGCTGCAATTATTCCTTACCTTCTCTTTTTTCTGCTACTTTATGATGACAGGTAAACTATCGACAGCCCACCATAGTCTCAGCAAACTGATGGTAAAATCCTACCTTAAGAAAGGCTTCTTTTACAAAATCTTACACTAAAATATATCAAGATGATGATGATGATGATTTTATTCTGCTATTGGATTGAAAGTTTCTGCCTATTCAGACATTTTTCAAACTCAACGATGGAGACAGACATGAGAGAATAGTAATGGATACAGTATTTGCAACTGTTAACTAATTACAACACGAAAGCAGCTAATGTTTGCCATACTTCAAAATTGTCTGCAGCAATTCAGGAGCATGTCAAAGCAGAACTTTTCGACCATAAAGAGCACAAAAAAACGAAGAAAAAAAAGGAGCTAATGTTGTCCATACTTTCGAAACTATTTAGCTACATTCCATAATGGAGATGGACCTGACTTCCCTTCATGGTCATGTGACCCTGAGCACACACATTTTTCTATGCAGAATAAACACTATTTTTCCTGATTATAACTATTTTTTTGTCCACACATCCCCACCATTGAACATGCAAGCACAGCAATAACTCCATCCATGATTCTCCATTCACACATCGAGGTAATTACAACTTCACACAAAGAAGCATAATAAAAAAAATTAAAAATTAATTATATTCAAAAAATTAAAAAAATAAATTAAAAAATCAAACTATAAAAAAATAATTAAATTAATAAGCATATTTAAAAACCTGATCAGTTTGGTATCAGTTTAATAAATTTAAAATTAAAAAAATCAAACAAAACCAAACTAAAACAACAAAGCCAAATAAAAAATAATCACCCTTACCTCCAACCACTCTCCATGCTCTTCAATGTAAAATGACGTGAAAAAAAATCTATAAATACACATTGTTTGCTAGGTAAGTAAGTCCCAAAGAAACCGAGGCCATTCACATCCAAGATGGCAATGAAATCCAAGCAAGGCAATTCAGGCTATCGAAGCTCATCCAAGAGCTTTACACTAGTTCATTACAATCACACATCCTCTACAATTTTCATTTCATGTACATTGTTTTCTCCACCTATATTTATTAAGTTCAACATCGGATGACCTCCTGGTCTGATAAATAATGCGTTCGCAAATGGCACCGAAGAGCTGGTGCTCACTGCAGCCCTGGCACTCCACATGGAACAAAGTATGGGATACGGAGCCTCTTGCTCCAAACCCCACTCGCCATCAATCCAAAACAAAAACCCAACAAAAATGACGGCATCAAAACCTTGATTGTAGCCATGGGAGCTCAAATTCAAAGCTTGATTTCACATGGGTTTTTCTCAAAGATCTAAATTTCATTGATTATATAGTAACAGGCTGTTAATACTATTATTTTACGCAATAAGGACATCATGAAAAGACATGAGAGCTTGAGAAGCTCGAGCATGGGTCCTACGTAATGTGCTTCTCATATTGCTAATTGGCAGGCTGAGAGGGTTGCCGAACCATTTTATCCTAGCTTGATCAAGTTTTGATCGTCTGTACATATTATCAGCATGAAAATGCTTCCAGGCTTTTACTTGGCTGCCAAGCCATTATGAATCTCCTTCACACAATTTGCTTGGAAATTCCATATCCATCTCTCTTTCTGGTAATCGTCCATGACGACAAATTAAGCACAACATATTATAAATCTTTCACGATCCATGGTGCCATCACTAGCTTTACATGGATAGAAATGTTTCTATTTATTTTTCCTTCATTGGGCAAGATTCTTGGATATCGTTGCATGCAGTGCTAATCGATTGTGCCATCCCATGCACTTGGTCTAAATTTGTGTTCATGTTTTTCCACAGAGACTGCTGGAAGTAGCTTCGTGGGCTCCTCGATTTTAAGATGGCAATACTCATTAAAGAATAGAGGAGGAGAAGAAGCCTTACAGGATGCTACGTACTCTATCAAATATCCAAGAAGAAAATAGTTACCCTTTGAATATTAATTAAAAGCTACCCTTTTGAATATTAATTAACACTCTACCTTTTTTAAAAAAAAAAATGCATGTTTTTTATTTTTTTGCTGTTTGATCGATGGTTTTTGTAAAAGAAAATATTTTTTAATTAAGAATTTCCCTTTCAAAAATAATAATGTGTCTTTTTATAACACTATATCTTCTTCTCTTTTATCATCATCACGGCCACCATATTGCCCTAATATTATCCGAAGCACTCATTGCAGTGTTTTCTTTTTTATGCACCATTTCAGGTGTTAGCTTAGGTATCAAGCAGATTTACATCCTATCCTGTCATTTTGGGTTAAACTAGTGACATTGGAATAAAACAATTTCTTATAAATACATCTGTTTGAGTGTTAATTGCATACTTATACTCAATAATGAAGATTTTTTAATGTTAATTATTTTTAACTTTTTGCTTTTTATTTTTTATATATCAACATCTATCACATTATTGTTTTATCTTCAATCTTATTCTTTTTCGATAATTAATATTATAAAGCGAAACACTTTATATCAATTGATAAAATGATTAATTTTTTTTTTTTCATAAATGTTATGGGATTGAAGTACGTTATAGGGAATAAGATGGGTTTTTTTTTCTAATAACTTAATTAGTATTTGGTTATTATTTAGAGATAGAAAAAATGAATACAAAAATAAATAAATAAATAAAAACTTGTTTGATTGAAATGACATGGATGAATACATAAAATAAATTATCTCTATAAGAATCTTAAAATTAATTTATCTATTTAAAAAACAAAAAGATATGAAGAAACATCTCACATTTCCACTATATCTATCTTTATTTTTTTGTTATAAAATAATAAACAAATATTAGTTTAACTATTATTATTATTTTCTCATATCTCAAAATCTCTCGTTCAAACCTCCATATATATATATATGTATGTATGTATGCATGTATGTATATGTATATAACTAATGTTAAAATTAAGCTTCTATAGTTGCATGGTTCATAGGCAATGGACATCCACGTGCAAACAACATCTCTCACGTGTCGATTTCTTATTTGTTAAAATTCTCCCCAAGTACAAGACAATTATTTCGCATCGACACATACACTTATTGCATGAAGCCAAAAATAGAAAATAATTAAAAGTAAAAAAAAAAAATCAAAGCAAAAAAATCTTTCTTCATGATTAATCATGTATATTGACAATTTTACCCCTACATTCATCAACTTGCACCCCTCCTTGACAAAAAAAACAAAGAATAAGAAGAAGAAGCACGCCAAATGCAATATGAATCTAAGAAATTGTTTATTTTTGTTTTTAAAAATTAAAAAAATTAAAAAATATCTTTTTTTATTTGAATTTTTTATAATTTTAAGTATTTTAACGTGTTGATATAAAAAAAAAATTAATATAATTTTTAATAAAAAATTATTTTAAAAAATAATTATTGCCTCACTTCAAATAACTACAAAAACCATCAGACAGACATGATGGTCATGACGTTCGAGCACACTCGCAGCCATGGGCTCCACCCCATGGCGCCAGTTTGCGATCTTGGGTCCCACAAAAGTTAGGGGCAGCCACTCAAACACATTAGTGGCAAATTCGTAGAAACTTTAAATATCTACGGGCTTTTATTGTTGCCTAAAACACCGCTGAAAAATCCTCCCCTTTCCCTTTCATGAGTCGCCACCAGATGACAGTCCTAGCAGTGTGGACTCACGTGATGATATTGAATCTAGACCGTCCAAGGGAGTTATGTGATAAATCAAAGGTTTTCAGTGGGCCCCTTCTCACATGATCATGTTCAAGCGGGTCCTACTATAATGAAATGGTGACCGCGTACTTGCCTCCGTCCATCGTTTCGAGTGTTAAATAATATTTTATTTTGAAATATATATTAATAATATTTTTTTATTTTTTAAAAATTATTTTTAACATCAACACGTTAAAACGATATAAAATATATAAATTATATTAAATTTTATAAAAAAATTAATTTTTTTAAAAATACAAATTCAACCATGTTTTTAAACAAATCATTAAATAAAAAACTTATTAAAGTTCGATAGATAAAGAAGAAGGAAATAAATAAATAAATAATGAAACTTGATTTCATTAAATTAAAAAAAAAAACTAAACCCTATCAATCTAAGGTAGGGTGTTTTAATTACACCAAATATATAGCTTTTTTAGGAGTAAAATAGTTTTTTTCATATAATTTATTTAGTTTTATAAAATTAATCAATAGTTTATCAAATTTTCTTATAATTAAATAACATAAATTTCATTAAAAAAAAGAATAAAAGGGGCTTTTGCATCTTTTCATTTTTAAAATAAAAAAATTACTACATTACTCTTCAAGTAAAGAAAGTAAATAAATGAGGAATTAAGGAGTATTTTAATATTTTTATCATGTTTTTTTTTTCAATTATACTCTATTTGAATTAAAGGCAAACAAATCTTTTAACAGGTAAAAATAATTAAAAAAAAGCTAATGAGTGGAACCATAGTTTGTACGGCGTATTTTAATAGCCAATAAAATTCAACCACCGTATCTTTTTTGAAGTGTCCAATGACAATACATTTAATAAAATTATACATGTAGTGCAATTCACAATAGTTGGACAACAATGAAATTTTTTCTCTCTTCCCTACTTTTTTTTTACTCCTTTCTCCTTAAAATAAATGTGGGGTCAACTAAAATCCACAGTTTTCTTCTTTTTTATTTTTTATTTTAATTGTAATATTTTTTTTATTGATCTTTTTTTATTTTGGATTTTTTTATTTTTATTTTTATTTTTATTTTATTTTATTTGATTTTTATATCAAATATGATACTTATTTAATATTTTTTTAATTTTATCTTTCAATTGTTTATTTCATTTATTTTTTTATCCAATTTTGGTGTTCATTCTTTTAATTTCTCTTTTTTTTTTCATTCTCTTAATATTTTTTATTTTGTCCCTTAATTTTTTATTTTGTTTTTTTATCTAATTCTGGTCCTTGTTATTTTAAATGCTCTCTTTTTATTTTTTATTTTATTTTATGGGGTTATTTTTTTATCGTAAGTTAGCTAAGTTAACTCGAGTATTTTTGAATTTTTTTGATGTTTTATTTTTATTTTTATTATTTGATATTAAATTATTAAGTCTGAAGCTTTTTTAATTTTTATACTTTTTATTTTTATGGAGTTATCTCATATTGTAGGTTAGTAAGATTATCCTAGGTCATAGATTAATCAAGCTAACCCGTGGTGACTTATTTTTTTTTCCAATGCCTTTTTATTTATTTAATTTAGATAATTTTTTCTAGATTGTTGGAAAAAATATTTTTTAAATGTAAATCTTATATTACGAGTAGTGAGTTATTATAGTGAATTCAGGTTAACTCAAGTTTTTTCTTTAATATATTTTTTTTAATTTTATCATTTGAAATTGAGTTATTAGATTCTGAGCTTTGTGGTTCTTTTTGTATTTTATTTTATAAGGTATTTTGATCTAATATTTTATATGTTTGTTAAATTAACTTGAATTGACTTGTATTATCATTATTGTTTGTATATTATTTTTTATATTAGAAAAAAATCTGAATTAATCTTATTTGTAGTGGGGGCAAAACAACCTAATCAAGATTAAATTTTTTTCTGGTTTGATTTTATTTTTCTATTAAGTATATGGAATGAAAACATTCACCAAATAAATAAGCATACAATCAAAGCGTATCAGTGTGATAAAATAAAACTCATTCTTTTCTTTAATTTTCATAATTTATAATTGTGAGAGATTGTTATGTATACGCAGTAATGCACACGTTCATAAGAAAAAATGAAACCATGAATATTTTGTTTTTTCCTTTTATGTGAATGGAAGAGAAGCACATTGATACTGTATAATGATTTCGTTTGGATCATAGAGTAAATAGTAATTCATGCTTTTTCCTTGATTTTTCTCTAGATAGTATTAATACGAAACATATGCCTTAATACATAATTATATACTATAAAGTTATATTGGGTCCATAAAGAAATGTTATAAAAGCACACCATAACTGCATGATAAATTAAATTTCAAAAGAAAATAAATAAGTAAATAAAGACTTTCTTCCTAAACAAAAATTAAACCATGTTAAAATCAATAAGAAAAAAATTATTTTGATTGATTAATACTAAATCTAGACAATGTTTCTCTAATTAAAAAGGAAGACTATGCATGTTTATATATATATATATATATATATATATAGTTTACAATAAAACCTGGATGATTAATGACTTTTAATAACCAATTAATTACTCAACAAATAAATAAAACAATTAATCACCTACATTATTTATTAGTGGCCAATTATCAACTGCAACCAACAATCCATCAATTAATCATGTTATAAAATTAAAAAGAAAAACAAAAATAAATAAATTATTCCAAAATTATACATATTATAAATAAAAATTTATTTATTAAATTTGACTAAATCAGACAAATTCCAGTGACATAACATCAAGTAAATTTAAAAGATTTTTTAAAATTTTTATCTAAACCTATAATTTTTTGATAATCTAGAATGATATTGTTTTATTTTCAAAAATAAAATAATATTATTTTAAAATTAAAGTTCCGAAACCCGTGACCAAGCTTTGATGACAATGGTAAAAAGAATACAATTCAAGAAAAGATTTTTTGAAAACCATAAAATAGAAAAACAAAATTCTAAAATTAAAACTTTAGATCCTTTACCCAAACAAGCCACTGATACCGAAAAAGAACGTGTATAGTACTCTCCGAATCCCTACGTTAACAAAATCAACGGCCAAGATTCAATCCTTACTCCTATATAAATACATCACCTTCTCCTCCATCTCACATGCCAAGGCTCCACACTTGCAGAGATTGAGAGCAATCCAAGGCCAAAAAAATGCTTCTTAGAAGCTCATCAACGCCAATTCTGGATTCATGGATCCCTCCACACTTGAAAGAACCATCTCCAGAACCCGAATCTGTGCACCAATTTCAAAAAACCCGACCCATTTCGTTGACAGCATCATCTTCTAGTCCATTTTCTTCCATTTCTTCACAAGATCATGATTCTATTAAAAGAATGACAAGAGCCTTTTCCGAGGCAGATTTAAGGGACCTCTCAGTGCCAAAGAGAAAACCCAGTAACGGAATCTTGAATGGAATCCCTGTTGATGAAGAGGTGGAGAAAAAGGTGTCATTTCGGGAGGGAGGGTTGTTTTTTGAAGGGTGTGAGGCTGGAGAGAAGGGGGAGGGTCATAATGGGGTGCTGGAGGTTTCGGTGACGGGTGGTGGTAGTGATGGTGGTGGACGGAAGTTTTGTGGTGGTCGTGGTAGGTCGGATTTTGGTGATGATGGAGGATCAGGGTCTCGGGAGTCCAATGAGGGGACTGAAACTACCGATGTTTATTATCAGACGATGATTGAAGCCAATCCTGGGAATCCTCTTTTTCTCAGAAATTATGCCAGGTTCTTGAAAGAGGTACGTGTTTGCTGTATTGCAAAAGGTTCTTGCTTGCATGTTTTTTGATTTTTTTTTGTTTTATTTTTTATTGAATTTGTTTGTGTTATGGTTAGATAATGTGTTTTGTGTTGTGTTTTTTTTTTTTTTTTTTTTGAAGTTTAAAGAAATGGGAAGCTATGTTTCTGTCTTGTGTAGTTAATGTAATTGTATATCAACAGTGAATATCCATCTGAAATTTGTGCCTTTAAAGCTCCTTTTGTATAAAAGTTCTGCTCTTTGTAGGAAATTACTTTAATGGATATTCTCAAAGTATAAAGTTGTTGAAACTCTATGCTACAGAATCGTGAGAAAAAATGTTCTTTAGACATAAAAAATGATTTTCATACACAAAAGGTAAGTATGAGTAAATTAGGAATGATTTAGTAAGTGAATAGGAGCCAATCTTGTTGGGCTAGATTGTTCTAATGTATTGTTTTGGAATTGGAACAGGTTCGTTTGGATTTTGTAAAAGCTGAAGAGTACTGTGGAAGAGCAATTCTAGCCAACCCTAATGATGCAGATGTTCTTTCAATGTATGCTGATTTGATATGGCAGAGTCATAAGGATGCTTCTCGTGCTGAATCTTATTTCGATCGAGCTGTTAAAGCTGCCCCCAATGATTGGTAAGCACCATTGTTGATTGTAGAGTCCATAAAATTTGCTGCTGGAACCTTAGAGACATGAATTATATCATGATCTTTGTTTCAATGTTTGATGGGAAAAAGGATTGTACGTGGATAGACAATTATCAGTATTACGGTATTGTACTTTACCATTGTCGCTGTAGTTATGATGGATGCCAGGTTTTAAATATGTCTTTGTTTTGATGCTGCAGTTATGTGATGGCATCTTATGCTCGGTTTCTTTGGGAAGCTGAAGAGGAGGAGGGGGAGGGGGAGGGGGAGGACGGGGAGCAGGAACAGAGAGAAAATATGAGCAAATTGTCACCGTCAACTTTTTTCCATGGATCCAAGCCTCCTCTCCCTCCTTTAGCCGCCTCATCTTGAGACCACCACCTCTCACAAAAATCTTGTATTATGGCTTAGACATAACTTCTGACCTTTGTTTATACATCCTTTCTTTTTGCAATTTTGCTAGTAACCTTTTAAGCTGCTCAGTTGAGTAGTTTAATTACCATGCTTTGCTCGTCTGGCAATTTGATTTAGAAAGAAAAATAAAAGATAAGACGAGTTTTTGTGGCATTACCTCTCTTACTTTCTGCTTGGCTTGTTATATATTTGTCAATAAATTTCTTTTGTTCTGGCAGGTATTGCTGCCACTGCGTAGTGGAGTTTTGCTGAAACTTTGAAGTTTGAAATATCCTTTCCTCTGGTCGTGCAAGTAACCCCCCCTGTAGATAAGCTTTGTGGTTGGACAGAAAAGAGCTGTAGATATTAGTATAATTAAGACATTAACAATGCGTTTAGCATGTTATGTACTGCCTCTTAAATTTTATTTAGGGTTTTTGCTTCACCTTTGATTAACCTGAAGGAATCAAGGAAATGATAAAGCCTGGATAGATTAAATCGTTAAATTATCATGTTCTTTCTTCCCCTGTATTCAATAATAGTCCCAGGAGGTTTAAAATTTTCTATATGCTATTTGCTAGTACAGTAACAGGACCTGATCTACCATTTTGCCAGGATGTGTGTTGTTAGGTTAGGCTTGCCTTCACATCAAGTTTTGGGGTTAGGGGCTCTGCGACTGCGAAGCTATGCTTGCAACTCAAGCTAAGTCCAGTAAGACTGAACCAATGTGATTATTTTGGGTCCATGCCAGCTCCCTGATTGATAGTATGAAACAGCTTCCAGCTAGAGATTGAATAGTCAAAGTCTCGACAAAGGCTAGTGGAAGCCTGGCGGACATGCTGTCATTGAACGTTATGGCTCCATTTTCTAAGCAAATTCACTAACAGCTACCGGGGGATTCTGATTCGCGTGTTGTGAGATATATCGAGATTTTCTCGTTTTAATCATCTTTCAGTGTATGTTTGAGGTCATCTGCCCCCTGTTACATCATCCTTTTGAGTGCGAATGGGAATATTTGGAGAGTTAAACCTGTGCTTTAGAAAGGGTAAGAAGAGTAATCTAATCTTCTTCAATACACGAAGGATAAGGATACTTTCACTCAGAACAATAAATTAGCAGTTGATTGGGAAACTAAAGATTGATAGCTCTAAAATTCATATCATGCAATGGGAATTGCCATCGATTATTCCTAGTGCTAACCTCAAGTTACCTTTGTTCTTGAATTTTACTTGTGAATATAATCTGTTCCCAACTAGCTTGAGAGACCGAAGAAAAAGCTCAAACGATCCAAAACCAGCCAATAACTGATCCACCAACCAGCCCTATTCCGAGGAACACAACCATTGCAATTGCAGATAACTCTGCTTCTGAAACTGATACTGCCATGGGAGCAAGGATCATGAGAACACTTGTCAGATAGCCGTTAGTCACTCCGAGCATAAAAGTTAGAATTGCCACGGGTACTTCAGTTTTCAGCCACTTGGGTCCTTCGAGACAAGCTGCAAAGAGAGGATAGAACACAAGCCTGAGAATGCAACCCCATGTTGCCTTCTTAATGCTCTTCAGAACATATATTGCTGTTAAAGATTTCCCTGTGAAGTCTGCAACATTGTATATTGTTATTAGCAAAACGGGATACCAATCTTTTAGTAACTTGGACGAGAGATCTTCTGCTATGAAACCAGGAAATATCGACAAAGTCACGATATAAATCATGAGAACACCAAAAGCTGGCCATCGGATTTTTCTTGCTACAACCCAAAATTTTCGTTTTGGAAACAGTGAATCATCAGGAGCAAGTTTGTAATGCTGTTCCATAACTGGTAGTTTGTATAACAAATTGGAAGAGAGAGCGCAACACAGTAGAATGATGGCGCTAACTATAAAGTAGAAGTGAGCACTTGTTCGGAGACGTTGAGGGTTCTGAGGGAGTGATGCCTTTGTAATGATCCTCAAGATGGAAATGAGAACACCTGTTAAAAGCAATTGATGTAGTCAGGGGAACAGAGTATGATTCTTTGAGCTGTCTAACAATATCTACTTCACCAAAGAATACTTGCTTTCACTCATCTACACCTTACATGCAAAATACAGTTCAAGCAAGACAACAAACATGTATTTTACATCTTTCTCCTAAAAATATGCCAAGAATTATACAGTTTAAAACCAACTTCTCGGAAGCATAGCTGATAGTGGTAATAGGGTTGGTTTCTGATGGATTCATTGAGGTTCTAGTCCCCTGCAATCTCAAAACTCACGAAATTCTGAATCATTTGATGCTCCACAAGGCATGGAAACTGTTCAAATCTTTCCAGAAGTTATGTTCTGCCAGGAAAGTACTTGCTGGCAATGATGGAAAAAGTGAAAACATGCTATTGCTGGAAATGATTGCTTATTTTGAATAACCTGTCTTAAGGAAAACAGTGAAGATTTGTGCCTTGATTAAATTCGTGGAAGTAAATCTATAACTTTGGCCCTGAAAGGAAAAGACAGTCTCCTTAGGATGTTATTTATCTGCATCAAATTCTCTCCAACAGGTGAAAATGATTCCACGACCACTATGTTGTTTGCTTTTAATTCATAATTGGAAGAGACAACATGCTTTATCATCATAAGAACTTACCATCGACCATGTTTCCTACTCATCTACTCTTTAATACTTCCTTTTCTGTTGAATCATGGAAGAAATAATAAGAAAAATTGGGTTCCTTTTCTGTTGAATCATGGAAGAAATGATAAGAAAAATTGGGAGCTGTGGTATTATATAATACCTGAAGAGGCAGTTCCCGCAAAAACAGCCTGCATGTACTGTTTTGGAAGCTTTCCAGCTGCTCCTATCAAACTTCCTCCTATCAATCCATCAGCTATACCACAAACCACGACTGATGCAACTGTCACACCATAGGCACCATTTGATCTCCCTTCTGGCCCACTGCCACTCGAAGACCAGTCTATTAGTGGAGCCACCATTAGAGAGAGTACAAAAATGCAAAATCCCATGTTCATTCTTAATCTGTAACTTAGCTGCTTGCTCCAGCCACCCCAACTCACGACTATTAGTAGAACCAGAACAGAAGAGCTCATGTAAGCTACAGAAAAGACCTTCTCAATGTGCTTGGTTGGATAGAGATAGCCAAAGTAATCAATAGCTGTGATAAAAGCGTTCCATGGAAGCAAATTACCAGCACCAAGCAGAAAATGGATTGTATAAGCAATTTTGTAGGTGTCCCTGGTCTCAGGATGATCTGCAGCTCCTTTCTCACCTTCCATTTTTTGCGTTCTTGCAGTCATCTTATTACTTACAGTCTTCGGTCTTAATATAGGCGGAACTAAATGTTTCAAATTTGCGATATGTCATGTTGATTAGAAAGGCATAAACAAGCTGAGCTGATGAAAGAGACTCTGCCTGGCTAGCTGGGGCCTATACATGTCATAAAGTATTTGCTCATCTTTATATAGTGCAACTAACAAAATAAGGAGGTCACTTATGGAGGTCGCACATGCATGACATGCTATATAGTCACTTATGCAAACCCTGTACAACTAGTGTTATTTTAGGAAAATTTTTTTTTAACCTCGTTAGCTTGGGATTTGTTTTTCATTGTGCTACGTGGAGAAAAAAAAAAAAACTAACCAACAACTTCCTAACATGAGCCAGAAGGCCTTGTTGACAGCTTCACATAGTTTTCTTTTCTTTGTTTTTTTTTTTTCTCAGATTTGATTGATGGGTTGGTTATGGAATCAATGGGGATAATTCATGTAGGAAATTATGGATGGGTGATGTTAGAAGCACCTTTAATTGCACTACCTGCACATGGTGTAGGTTTTGATGGCAGTGTGACTTAGCCAGAATCTTACAAAAATATTTGCTAGTTAGTCACCAATAATCTATAACCACTGGGCTCTAGCAATTATTGGGTCCATTTGAAGTCAGATCACAAGTCTTTTCCAGATTTTCAACATCTTCCTGCAGATCTTCTCACAAGTTGCTGGACAATCATTTGCTAATGAGAGGGGAAAGAATCCAGTATCAACTCATCCGCTAATTTCATTGTTGAAGCCCTTTCGGCTTCATAGCAAGTATTTTTCAATGCAAGATTTGATTTCTCTCTAATTTTAGTATCTCTGAAGGGTTTACATGTGCCAAACTGGTCCAGTCAGGGGTGGTGCCTTGAAGTGAAAGGAAAGGCCTTTCGGCTTTCGGTGTGAATTAGGTCCCCTGTATGACTATCATGCGGAACTTGATTTTGTCCTCAGATGTCAAGAGATGTTCAGAACTGTAGATATTGATCCCCACAAGCCCCCGTTAACATCTGTCAATACTGCTATTATAAGCTGCAATCATTCCTTATCTTTCTTCTCTTTTTTCTGCTACTTTATGATGACAGGTAAACCATCAACAGCCCACCATCGTCCCCGCAACCTGGTGTAAAATCCTACCTTAACAGCCCACCATCGTCCCCGCAACCTGGTGGTAAAATCCTACCTTAAAGAAAGGTTTCTTTTACAAAATCTTACACAAAAATGTACCATGATGATGACG